GGGCTCTCCAGGCGGCCGCCTCTTGAAACCACAAATCGATCTACCGCTCGTCCGTCACGCCAGGTCCTGCTTGGTCGGGCAAGGTATGCTGGGCAGCAGACAACTTTCCTCCCCAAGCTGACGGTTCTTCGTCGTAGGACTCTTTTGCTTGTCTCTGACAGACCCGCCGGGCGACTCGCCAGGGTGTGGTCGTGACAAAGTTGGAAAACAAACGCCTTGACTTAGCCGCGTGATGCCTTCCAGAACTCAGCCACTTGTGTCTCAATTCGGAGATTCCTGATGTCCCAATCCCGAACGTCTCGACGTGGCGATCTTGTTCCTTGCGTGCTTCCCACGGCGCTGCTTCCGACGATTCGCTTGGTTGTAGCTCCCTCGCAGATTACTTGCTTGTCCGACTGTTTACTTGGTACTTTAACTGATCTTGAAGGTTTGACTTCCCGTGATCGACTGATTCAGCTGCCAGCGCTCTGCGGGCTTATATAGGGCCTCCAGAACCGTTATTTCCCTTTTGCGCACGGCCCGCTGGATCTCTCCACTCTGGGTCCAAAGTCCGTGCCTCCTGGATGACCCACTTGTCCGTCACGTACCGCTTCCAATAGATGCTCCGCCCACTGCTGCCATTCCGCTGATTCCCGTGCCGCTTGTGGCACGCCTGTGGGCCGCTCCACTGCCGAGATGTGGCACTTCCTCTCCCGGTCCAAAGTTCACGGGAGAGTCCAAAGTCTGGAGTTCCGTTATCCTGTTTTTGCACACGGCACTCTTGCCTTGCCCGCGAAGTCTCAATTCTCTCTCGTTCTCCGTGCTTGGTCTCCAATCTCTCTCGCTCTCCGTCCTTGGTCTCCAAACTCTCTCGATCTCCATCCTTGGTCTCCAAACTCTCTCGCTCTCCATCCTTGGTCTCCAAACTCTCTCGATCTCCATCCTTGGTCTCCAAACTCTCTCGCTCTCCATCCTTGGTCTCCAAACTCTCTCGTTCTCCATCCAAGTCTCCAAGCTCTCCTCGCCGCGCCGTTACTACGCGAATTCGCCGCGTAACTGGTAAGCGGCCGGCCATCTGCTGCTGCTTCTATTTGTGGGGAGTTATTCAACTCCTCACAATATTTAAACCAACCGAATCAATAGACAAAGTGCGAATCATGATAAACAATTAGAGAGGACGAATCTCTCCACCAGCCGTTGAAGAAGTCGCATGCCTCTGGCATAATATATATATATTTTGTGTTTAAGTTAATTGGTATACTTAAGAACAGCCGTATTTTGGTGCACGTATATTTATATATATATATCAAATATAATATTTTCCCAAAGCCCAGGATCCGGAGCGTCGAGATCTCATCGCCCAGGATTTAAAGAGGGGGTAAGTTTGTCGGGACACGGTTCCTATCTTATAAACATGCATATATAAATATTCGTGCAGTATCCTACAGTTTTATAGACTACTATAAACTTTTTCAGCGGCGAGTATCAGCCTTGTAGTTATATGATAATTGCAACGACGTTTGTAGTCGTGAATAGTCAGTGTTTTGCTGATGTGTGCACCTTCATAGGTGATAAATTCGATACTCTCCGCTAACAGAATAATTGTCAATTAAATTACATTAATCGACAGACGCAGATATATATTACCTAATAAATTTATAATGTGAAAAAGAATTGGAAACCGTGGTGTGCTAGAACTCTAACAAAGGGGGTGTGCTGACGCGAGGAGTGGAGTAGGTCAAGAACAATGACATAACTTTCGACGGACAACCTTGACAATAGGGGATCGTATTGCGCGGCCCGCGACGATCCATTGGCACATGAATGTGTGAAGGGGAGGAAATATGGCCAAAACACAGCCCGATCGTCTTGCGATCAAGCGACTGCTAAGCTTGTTGGGCAGTGTGGACTGATGACTGACGAACTTGATGACTAATATTATTTTCCAGGCACTTTTAATATTTATTCTCGTTATGTTGGAGAGGAGAGAGGCTTACCAAGATCCCACGACCCAAATACGACGTAGCTTATGCCGGCAAATGGTGTCTGAACATCGGACGCCTCTCCCTTGGCCCATTTCAGGGACCATCATTTCAGGGACCAAGACCAAAATATGTCAGATTAGACAAATACGACGTAGCTTATGCCGGCAAATGGTGCCTGAACATCGGACGCCTCTCCCTTGGCCCAAGTCCTTGCCAGGACTCGGGCACTAATATGCCCACGTAACAACTTCGTGAACTCAAGCACATAAAATGACAGACCGTTTCTCAAAGCGAATCAGGCTTGTATAGACACAGTCATACCATTTCTTTGAAAGCTCAGACGAGGCCGCAAAGAGGAAACGTTTAAAAAATCCGCTTTAAAAAACCCTGAACTTGAGAGAACCACCTTATTTGACTGTGCTAGGTAGCTCTATCTACTCAATTTAAACGTAGAGCTAAATGTATACAGGAATAACATGAAAATTATATCTTGCTTTTAACGCGATTTTTTGTTAAAAATATTTGGCATTTCCACGTTTGTTCCAATGACAGGTATATAAATAATTGACAAATTAAAAAAAATGCTATTTAAGTTAGTAATTTATTTATTTTTGTTAATACAATTTTTTTAATTCTTTAATTTAATTTGCTACGCAGTGAAGAAGACGTTTCCGACCCAATAAAGTATATACATAAGTCTTATTTCTATTGCAGGCAGTATATAATTCGAAACGAGCCGGATCGGACAACAATATCCTATAACTCCCATAGGAATAATCGGAAAAAAAATTTTTGTAGTTCTGTTTAGTTACTTCATCGGTGTGTTTTTAAATATCTCAGAAATGTTATTTTTATATCAGACTTTCGAATTAAATTTTAAGACAATGCGACGCTTACGATTTATAGCTGCCGTAGTAACGATCAGATAATTATAATTATTCGGAAAATAATAGAAAAATAGTTATATGATCGTTTTTATTTTATAATGTTCTCTTCATCTCTAGTATACAGCAAAATTAGTGTCAAACAAGGAAGAACGCTATAGTGGAGTACCTTCATTATCAGATTCCCGTTACTCAGCTTAAGGGACCAAAGGGAAATGGAGATATGCAATATGAAATGCGCCACCTACCCGTGATCTCAATATATGGCTGTGTGAGCGGTAGACAGATTTAAGCGTTATGGGCGATAGAGTGTGCGAGGCAAACTTTTTTTTAGGTCAATCGATAGGTATTGTTAAGAACAATACATTTCAGTTAAAATTTTTATTCTAGCAACAAAACTGTAGGAGCCACAGTTTTGGACAGGCTGTGGGCGTTAGACACCCGGACGGACAGACGGACATGGCTAGATCGACTCGGCTAGTGATCATGAATATATATACTTTATGGGCCGGAAACGCTTCCTTCTACCGGTTACATACTTTCCGACGAACCTAGTATACCAACATTTATTTCCAAAATTTAATGATAGGGAAACGCAGCATTAAAAATATTGTTGACCAGGACCCTATAAAAATCCTAAACAAAGTCCAGATGGTCTAGGATTTTAGTCATCCTTTTACTTTTATTAAGACAATGATCCAGTTGGATCAGTTGGAAAATAAATAAATAGTCGGGAAATTCGAAATTATTCCGACTTAATGTCAGCGCTACAAGATGAGTGGGATATATAATCCATATAATGCTACCATATGGCGAGGATGATATGCCACTTATATGGAAGTTCCAGCAGGATAATGACCCGAATCACGCCTCTCGAGTAGTAAATGATTGGTTCCGAGAGCAAAATGTGGATGTTCTTGAGTGACAAAGTCAACCCCGGACCTCAATCCCATCGAGAATCTCTGGGGTGAACTCAAAAGAGAGGTGGGATAGACTTTATGTCAAAATAAAAGTCAACTTTAGGATATTGTCCAAAGAGCATGGTACAATATTCCAATTGGAACATGTCGCAAGCTAATGTCCTCCATGCCAAGAAGAATGGAGAAAGTCCTGCAAAATAATGGCGGATATACCGGCTATTAGCTGCCAGACACTTAGTTTAATATAAAAAAAGACCAAACAGTGAAATATTGATTTAATTTAAACATTTATCTATGTACACCTATTATTGTGTCCAGCCAAAATTGGCAGATTTAAGAAAATATTTAATTTAGTTGTTAATGAAAGGGTTTGTGGAACCTTTGTTACTTTTTGTTTAAAGACAATTAATATAAGTTTTGAAAAAAGTTTGTTTTGTTGAGATTAGAGATGATAATAATTAGAAATAAAAAGTTAAAAATGAAAAAAAAACACACCTATTATATTGTCCATGAGTGTATATGATAAGTCGTCCGATTTTGATACAATTAAATACGAAATTCAGAACAAATAAAAAAAAGTGATTTCCAAGCGTAAGAGGTTATATGTTAAAAAGCACAGAAGCTATAATTTCTTTCACATTATTTTCCCACCAATTTTCCGATCGTTCCTATGGCAGCTATATAACATAGTCGTCCGATTTTGCTAAAATTAAATAGAAAATTCAGAACTAAAAACAAAATTGTATTTCCATGTGTAGGAGGTTATATGTTAAAAAACACCAACGATATAATTAAAAAAAATTGTTTTTCTGATTTTTCCTATGGGATCTATAAGATATAGATGTCCGATCCGGCTCGTTCCGACTTATATACTACCTGCAAAGAAAAAAGACTGGAAAAGTTGCAGCCCGATAGCTTTAAAACTGAGACCAGACCAGTTTGCTTAGAAACGGACGGATAGACGGACATGGCAGTGAACAGTGGACGCATTGAAGGAGACGTTTCCGACCCCATGGAAACGTCTTTGTCACTTCTGACTGAAATCATAATACTCTCTGCAAGGGTATAAAAAAACGGTTCCTTTAGGAAACTTTGTGATCAACTGTTGCAGCAATCCACCAATAGTACGCATCTTCGAATGACGCCGGCTGATGTTTCTTTTACTGAAGTAGTTTTATTACTTTTTAGTAGGATTAAAAAAGGTTTACTTTTAAATCAATCTGTTGAAAATATAAATTAGAGAAGGTAATGTTTATTTTGTTCGGATATTTTTAATTTGTTTTCAGAGTTATTTGCATATCCAATTGAGCTTGAGCAATGTTTTCCAATGCAGACTGCATTTTTTCTAGCAAAAGCTCGCCCATTCGCACGACTTCCTCAAGTTCGTGTGCAGTTTCTTGATTTTCAATCTCTAGTTTCTTAAGGCTGGAATTTTGCAGTTCAATGGAACTGTCTTCATTTGGTAGTGACTCTATTAATGTGTCAATATCTTTGGCACATCGTGCAATTAACTGTGCAAAAAGCTGGGCATAGTCCTCTTGCGGCTGAGTTGGGTTGGGAGTTTGGCATCCTGTGCGGTCGAAATTTGGAAATTTACTAGGAAAAGATGTTTGCTGAATCACACCAATCGCGTTGCAAAAGTGCTCTGCTTGCTGCAATGAACATTTATATGTTGGCATTTTAGAGTTACTCATAATTTTGACTGAATTACCTGATTAACTGTGTCTTGCAACTGCGTAAGTCTATCAGCCATTTTAAAATTTAATGAATTATGATGATGAAAGCATGTATGTATCGCAAATTAGAAAAACAAAAAACCTTATGTATTTATGGGGCATAGCCGCATTTTTAAAGCACTTCGGAAAAAATTATTTATTGCTTTTAACAAATTGAGTATAATGATTTACAGATAATGATTACATTAATACTTGTTTGCAAAGCGACCAGCGTGACCGCGCCGGACCAATCGTGAAATACCAATTTGGTCTCAAAAATATACTATAAAATACTATTTCATATTTTACAAAATACCACTATAAATAATAAATACAACAAATTATTATATGTTATATGTAAAAATAATAATTGACTTATTGTATATAGAAAAAAAAAGGTTTTTTCCATTGCAAAAAATGTTTGTTTTTTATTTCATTTTACAAGATTAATAATATTTCAGTCCAACATAAAACTAAAACAATATGCATTCGTATTCGATTCCATATTCCAATATATATTTAAAGTCTTAAAATTATTTAAATGCTTTAAATTAATTTTGTAACATTTTCTTAAAATAAAATACTAGAGGAACTTCTTTGTCCAGTCATCGAGTAACATGTTCTAAAAATAAAATTATAAAGGAACTTCTTTGTCCAGTCTTGTAAGTTTCTTTTAAGATCAGAATATTACATTTAATTATATTTACTAGCCTTCTTCGTCAGAGCTGCTTAAATTAAATCTTTACATAATTGAGATCTTTACATAACATTTGTTCATTGGGCTTAAAATTATTGCACCCATTTTCGCGCAATGATTGTTTTACATGTAATATATGTGATACATTTACATTTTTAAAGCGGTTTTGATTTTTCGTTTTGATTAAATTAATTTGAGAGAATATGCGTTCGCACGACGCATTAGAAACGGGCAAAATTAACATAGATTGAGCAAATTTCGAAATATTCGCGTGCTGCTTAAGTGACGCTAGCCTACTCAAAATGTCCGTCTGGCAAGCTTTGCAGTGCGCATCCATCTTATTTGCGCTCCTGCCCAGCCATTTTTGATTTTCCGGCATAGTTCAGCTCTATATTTTTGCTTATTACTCATGTTCACTATTTGTTTGTTTAAATAGATTATCACAAAATTAAGACTTGATTCGATTTGCTATTCAATAAAAAGAGAGCGTCCCATTTGTTAAAGTTTGACCAAACCGAAAATACCATATAATACCATAAAATCTAAGAAATATGCTACTAAATACCTATATACCATTAAAATACTTTTGAGTAAAGCCTAGTACTCAGATCGGCTAAGAGTTTCACTAGTCGAAAAATCTTATTCTTTGTAGTGTGACCGAAGTTTTCAAAATTCACCCGCAATGCATATAGCATGGTTTTACTGTCAAGCAGCTGGGTTTGTTGCCAAACGGAAAACTTATCAATTGGAGAAATTTAAAAAGGAGGAGTCTGCTGGTACACAAAGAAACTTAAATAAAAATAAATGGAATGTTCAACGAATGTTTTCATTTATGTAAATTAATAGTTTAAAGCTTCCTTCTCGTCCCACGAACCGCAGTACAACTCCGAGTCCCAATAGGCATATTGGACCTTGAGGAAGTGGGAGAAAGGGGTTGATCCGCTGATGCTGCAGGAAGTCGCCCAGCATCCTGGCAGTGGCTGGCTATGGCTTCTCCAACTGTTCCTTAGCGGGCGCCCTATTTTCCTCCTCCCCTGCAGTACCATTCAGCGCTTATTGAGCACTCAATCACTGCAAAAAGCTCATCACTCAGCGCTCAATGAGCGCACAATTTGTATGGAGCTATGTGCTGAAATTAACATAGGCATGTCCTAGGGTTCATCAGTGCTCAAAAAATAGCACTCATTGAGCGCTTTTTTGAGCACCCTCCTGAGCGCTCGATTGAGCAGCTGAAAAAGCACGCGTTCAGCACATGTTGAGCGCTCGATTGAGCAGCTGAAAAAGCGCACGTTCAGCACATGTTGAGCGCTCGGTTGAGCAGCGATAAAAGCACACATTCAGCACACGTTGAGCGCTCATTCAAGCAGCGAAAAAGCGCACTTTCAGCGCACGTTGAGCGCTTAGCAGCAAAAAAAATTTCAGTTGTAATTTTTATTTTTATTTGTTTATTTTAAAAATTGAGCTCGGGGGTTTCCGGTGTTATCGGGGTCGCTGGCACCTCCTCCTCAGCATCTGGTTTTTAACGCACCGCATTGCCTTCTGCAGCGCCTTTTCGGGAGGCTCCGAGGGATCGACCAGGGCGATTGCATCTAGTATTAGAAAAAAATTAGTTTTAAAAATAAAACAAGACGAGAATAAAAACGAGTGACCGAAAGTAATCGTTATTTGTAAGATTTATTTATAATAAAAGAAATGTTATCTTTGGCATTCAATGTAAAAATCCCAGAAGTCTTTTAAAAATTGAACTTACAAACAATAGTTTTCAGCCTCAACAAAAACTTACTTAATAAGGCACGGGCGAAATTTGGGTAGTCTGAGCCTCTTCTTGTTTTGCCCCCCCTCCAAGTTGTGGGACAGAACAAGTTCCTCGGATAATATGCTTAAGATGGAACGATTTAGCCTTCCATTTTTTTATAGATTTACCTTCAGCCTTGTCTAAAAATATAAGAAAATGCAAAAAATATCGAGAAGAAATTAGCAAACTTTTGTTTTCGGTCACTTGATTTATTTTATTTTGTTGTAAACAATTATTACGAAAAATAAACCACACATTATTTATGTATTTTATATTATTTATTAAAACATTTATTTATTTTGCAGTTGCGGAAAAAAAAATAACACTTTTCCAGGAACTGAAAATTGGAGATGTTTGAGATTTTTATTTAAATACGTACACAAAAGTAAGAATTGTTGTTAAATGTTATTAATATTCATTTTTATCGAATTTTAACCACAAATATAAGTTTTAAAAACAAACATCTCTTATTTTTTGTCCCTAGAAACTTTGCACTCAATAAGATTTTTAAATTCTTTCACAGATTTGTTTATTATATGCACCATTTGTTGCTTTTCACGTCAAAAATTAATATTTTTCACAGCTATTTTTTTTCCGCCAGGTGTTATTTTGGGAATCTTGTATTTCCCTTATTTTTAATATAGATTATCTTGTTTTTTACTCTCACTGTTTTCAATATTATTAGTCTGCGACAGACTTACCTGGGAATCGTTTCTTTTTCACTTTTAAGGCACTAATTTAATTTAATTTAGTAAATTGCTGGTATGTTTGCTTCAACTTCTAACTCCTTCACTAAAGTAAACGCAAGTGAAAAGACGAAAAAAGGCGCGTGCCTTCCAGAAAAACAACAAGCAACAACAACAACGGTTCCGCTAAGCCGTTGTTGTTTTTTTTGCATGTCCCGTTTGGTCTATGCATCTTGCACATAAAAGCAGGGTATTTATAGACATATTCGACTATGCAAATCGGTTTATAAAAATATATTTTTAAAACTTTACATATTATTAAATTATATTAATAAACATATAAATTTGTTTAAGAAATACAAATATTTTAAAACAGAAACCTATTATTTTAAATCGTTGTTTTAACATTTACGAACAAATGTCGCATTATTCAAAAGGCAAGGGTGCACAAAGGTCTATATATTTTAGTTGCTGGGCCTCGTTCCCTTCACGCGCACTTTTTCGTCTGAGACTTGACGAGAGAGGGAGAGCCCAAAATTACTTTTTTGTGCGTTCTCTTTGCGGACCCGACTGAGAGCGCGTCGCTTTGCCGCCGTTGCGCTCAGCTCTGCCGGCATCGCTGGCTTCTCTGCCGACGTCGCAGTCGGCTTCGTGATGATTGGGCGCTTAACTCAATTTTGGAACTGCAGGGTCCCTATAGAAGCCAGAGGGTCCTCAAGCTCCGCTGCTGCCAAGTAGCTGGTGGTGGTGGTGTCCGTAGTCCTAATGTCCTAGGGTCGTCGGAGATCGTATTACTGGTGGTTCTGCTAAAAAGATACTTATATTTGTACAACGCAACCAAATTCTTTTGGCCAGATCTTACTTTCTTTGCGAGGACGCGCCGGGCAGGATGTCCATGTAGAGATTTGAGTCCCACTCGGCATATTCCTTCCCACTGGGATTCTCTAGTGGATCTCCAACAGCACTTCAAGTAGAGCTGGTGAACAATCGATGCATCGATAGTATAGATTGTCTCAAAATTTCGTGAAAGTCGATTGTTTTTTCTCACTATCGATGGTTTTCCTTTTTTTTTGCCCATCACTTTATGCTTTTTCCATCATTTTTTAGCGGGAGTTGGCAAGCGAACAAGTGAATTAATATGTAAGTACATAAAAAAGTAAAATTGAATACACAGTTAACTTATTTTTATATTGTTTTATTAGCTTAAAAGTGGTGGTGTTGGTGCTGGCAGTGGCCTGAAATGGATTATGGACAAGTTTCTCAAAAGTAAGTAAATGCGCTTTGGCACTTGTACATGTGTGTATGTGTGCATGTGTAATGCTTATAAATCCACGTGTTTTCAGTGCACTTTGGTGTGACAACTTTTAACATTAACATTTTATTCTGCAGCCGGAGGCTACAAGTCCTAAGCGTCAAGAGGAAGCTTCGAGTCCTAAGCGTCGAGGGGAAGCTAGGAGCAAAATAGAAATTTGTGTTGTTTTTTTATTTATTTATTTATTTATTTTTTTAACCATCGATAGTCCATCGATTGTTTTTCTAAAACAATCGAAAACCATCGATGGTCCCACCATCGATTGTTCTCCAGCTCTAACTTCAAGTATTCTGCGAATTTGACCCTTTTGTGGAATTGCTTCCTGTCGGTGAAGTCCCACAATAAAGGGCATAAGCTTGGATTTGGCGTCCTATTTCATCTGTACTGACCTCCTGCATCCGATTTTGAGGGTTTCCTTCCATTTTTAATTTTTAGTTTTCACATCGCCTTTGCACGCACACCGCCAAAGATTGAATTTCTTATTCCTTGGGCCGCGGCTCATCACGTTCATCGAAAATTCAGTCTGATTTTTCCTTTTTTTTCTGATATTTCCTTAGCTCATCTGAGTACCGCGCTGAAAAACAGACCCGACGAAAAGCGTTAGCCGCGTATTTGCCTTTCGCTCACTCCTATGGTTAGCTCGCGGTTTTCGTCGATCTGAGTACTAGGCTTAAAATCAGAGCTGATAAAATACCAACAAGTATTTAAAATACCATATTCGGTCACGCTGAAAGCGACCGCGCCTACAAGGGGTGTCACGTAAATTTCTACGGAGGAAATTCAAGGTAAGAGTACGTTAGAGATGTAAGAACTTCAATGCCACTATCGATATCATCGATGTTTTTTTTAAAACGGCGATATATCTATGTATTTATCAAACATCGATAACTTCGACACTACTAGGCTTTACTCAGTGAGTACTACTCACATCAACGAAATCCGCGAGCTAACCATGGGAGTCAGCGGAACCCAAGACGACTGCACGAGGTCAGAGCAAATGAAAAAGGATATCTAATCCGAGCCTTGTCCAAGTTGCCCATTACTGTGGGACTTGATCCTCTGGAAACAATACCACAACAGGGCAAATCCGCAGAATAGTGGAAGTGCTGGAGATAATCAAATCGAGAAGCCCATTGAAAACGAGTGGGACTTTTCTCCCTGCATGGACATCCTGCCGGACGGGCCTACGCAAAGAAAGTAAGTTCTGGCCAAAGTTCTGTTTAGCAGAACCACCAGTAGCACGATCTCCGACGAACTCTCTTTTTGAAAATCACAGGACTCCACATCCACCTGCTACTTGGCATCTAATGCGGACCTGGAAAAAAAGACGCCCGCTAAGGGATAGCTATAGGAGCCAATACCAGCCGTTCTCAGGATGCTGGACGACTTCCTGCAGCATCTGCGCAACGACCCCGTTCCCAATCCGGCTCACAGTCACACAAGACTAATATTGGCATATTTGCGAATCGGAGCTTGACTGCAGATGGCGAAGCAACCGCTACACGAGAAGGAAGCCTTAAACTATTAAATAACATAAGTCAAAACATCCTTTGAAAATTCCATGCCTATTAATTTTTTCGGCGGCAGCAGATTTGCCTTCTTTAAATCGTAAAGAAAACAAACCCAGCTGCTCGAAAATAAGGCCACGCTACATGCATTGCGTGGGAACTTTGATAACTTCGGTCACACTAAAAAGAATAAGATTTTCCTTGTCGTGAAACTCTTAGACGTTCCGCGTTCTGGATTTAAGCCTAGTACTCAGATCGGCTAAGGGTTTTACTAGTCAAAAAAATTTTAGTCTTTGAAGTGTGACCGAAGCTTTCAAAGTCCACCCGCAATGCATGTAGAATGGTCTTACTGTCAAGCAGCTAAGTTTGTTGACAAACGAAAATAAATCAACTGGAGCAATTTAAAAAAAAAGAGTCTGTTGGTGCACAAAGAAATAAAAATAAAAATAAATGCAATTTTCAACGAGAGTTTTTATACCCGTTACTCGTAGAGTAATAGGGTATACTAGATTCGTCGGAAAGTATGTAACAGGCATAAGGAAGCGTTTCCGACCCCATAAAGTATATATATTCTTGATCAGGATCACTAGCCGAGTCGGTCTAGCCATGTCCGGATGAACGCTGAGATATCGGAAACTATAAGAGCTAGGCTATTGAGATTTGGCATGCAGACTCCTGAGCTTCTTACGCAGTGCAAGTTTGTTTCAGCAATGTGCCACGTCCACTTTTACACCCACAAACCGCCCAAAAATGGAGCTCCTACAGTTTTGATGCTAGAATAAAAATGTTAACTGAAATGTATTCGTCTCGTCAATACCTATCGATTGATCCAAAAAAAAATTTGCCACGCCCATAACGCTTAAATCTGTCTACCGCCGGTAGGTGGCGTATTTTAATCTCGCTTTGCTGCTTGCATATCTCTGAGTAACGGGTATCTGATAGTCGAGGTACTCGACTATAGCGTTCTTCCTTGTTATGTATGTAAATTTGGTGAAGGAGGAGTACTCAATGGAGAGATGTCCCATGTTCCTTCCCACTGGAATTTCCTAGTGGATCTTCTCCAGCGCTTCAACTATTCTGCTGATTTGCCCCGTTGTGGTATTGCTTCCTGTCGATCAAGTCCCACAATAATGGGTAACAGCTTGGAGTAGGCGTCCTTTTTCATCTGCACTACCTCCTTTAGCCGTTTTGGATGTTTTTCTTCCATTTTTAATTTGTAAATTCCCCACCGCCTCTGCACGAACACCGCTAAAGATTAAATTTCTTATTCTTTGGGCCGCGGCTAACGGCGTTCATCGAAAATTCACTCGCGAAATCTGGTATTTTTTCTGGTATTTCCTTAGCTCATCTGAGTACCGCGCTGAAAAACAGACCAGACGAAAACCTTTAGCCGTCTGTTTGCCTCTCGCTCACTCCTACAGTTAGCTCGCGGTTTTTGCCGATGTGAGTACTAGGCTTTAAGCAACCAGTACGTAAGCTAGAATAATTTGCACGTTCTTCAATTAATACAGTATAGATACAGTTTATTACAGTTGAAACCTCTTAAGGCGGTTCATGGCTTACAATGGCTTATGGACTGAAGTGAGACTATAAAACAAATAATTTAAGAAACTAACTGTCTTTTTTTTGTATACCCGTTACTCGTAGAGTGAAAGGGGGAAGTAGTATCAGGTAGAAGGAAGCGTCTCTCATAAATTATATATATTCTTTATCAGCACCACTAGATTCAATCTAGCCATGTCCGTCTGTCCGTGTGAACGCAGTGATCTCGGAAACTGTAAGAGCTAGAGAGTTGAGAGTTAGGATTTAAGTTCCTTAGCTTCGTCCGCATCGCAAGTACTTTATGCCCCGCACATATCGATATATGAAATCGAGAGTAAGTGGCGCCTTACAATCTCGCTTGGCTGCTTGTACGTTTCCATCAACCTTTTGCTCCCTTAAGTTGAGTAAAGGGTATCTAATAATCAGGACACTCGACTATAGCGTTTTTAGGAATATCTCGTTTTCTACTTAAATATACAAAGGTTAATGATGAGGCTAAGCAAAGCAATATTTGTTGGAGTTGAATAACTCCCCACAAATAGAAGCAGCAGCAGATGGCCGTCCGCCAAACGAGAGAGTTTTGAGACCAAGGATGGAGAGCGAAAGAGTTTGGAGACCAAGCATGGAGATCGAGAGAGATTGGAGACTTCGCGGGCAACGCAAGAGTGCCGTGTGCAAAAGGGGATAACGGAACTCCACCGGACTTTGGACTCTCCCGTGAACTTTGGACCGGGAGAGGAAGTGCCACATCTCGGCAGTGGAGCGGCACACAGGCGTGCCACAAGCACCAGGGGAAACAGCGGGACTTCAGCAGTGGGCGGAGCATCGATTAGAAGCGGTACGTGAAGGACAAGTGGGTCAACCAGGAGGCACGGACTTTGGACCCAGAGTGGAGAGATCCAGCGGGCCGTGCGCAAAAGGGAAATAACGGTTACCGGAGGCCCTATATAAGGCCGCAGAGCGCTGGCAGCTGGATCAGTCGATCACGAGGAGTCAAACCTTCAAGATCAGTTAAAGTACCAAGTGAACAGTCAGTCAAGCAAATAATCTACGAGGGAGCTACAACCAAGCGACAACCGTGGGAAGCACACAAGGAGCAAGATCGCCACGTCGAGACGTTCGGGATTGGGACATCAGGAATCTCCGAATTGAGACACAGGTAGCTGAGTTCTGGAAGGCATTACGCGGCTAAGTCAAGGCGTTTGTTTTCCAACTTTGTCACGACCACACCCTGGCAAGTCGCCCGGCGGGTCTGTCAGAGACAAGCAAAAGAGTCCTCCGACGAAGAACCGTCAGCTTGGGGAGGAAAGGTGTCTGCGGCCCAGCGTACTTTGCCCGACCAAGCAGGACCTGGCGTGACGGACGAGCGGTAGATCGATTTGTGGTTTCAAGAGGCGGCCGCCTGGAGAGCCCTGCGATTACCGGCGAAGTTCCCGAACAGCAATCGCCCAACTCCCCGAGTGCCAGAACGACGAGATACTGGTCAGAAGACAGCGCAGAGGACATCGACAGCGACACCAGCAGACATTTCCGGCAGCCACGTTACCATCACCGCGCGGAGCTCATTGGGGAGCGCAGGAACGTCGCAGACGTCACGCATTAGGGTGAAGCCGGGTGGAACGTTCGTCTGCGCTAGGCGTAAAGCGAAGTGAACCGCTAGACAGCTTCCTGGCGGCAGCCTTGACTGTCAGCGCGAACTGAGCAAGAACCTAGCGGGACCGTCCGGGACAGAGCAAGGGACAGGTATTGCCTCGAGAGTCGTAGGCCTGGAGAGCAAGACTTGTTCACCCTAGTCTGAGAACGGTGACGCTTCCCTAAGCCCACAAGGCCGAACTCTCGGCGGGTCTAAGGCGCAACAAGCGACCCCGAGGCAGCGCGTCAGCAAGCAAGCAGAGGCGGCCACTACGAGCGTCCCGAGACCCAGGATCCAGAGGAGGACGAGTCAACGCGTCGAGGAGCCAGAAAGAGGAGCGCCAGCAGCCGGCGGAACCAGAGCCAGGAGATACCGAAGCCAGCCCAGCCACACACCCGCTGTACTAATACCACGAGAATAAATCCCACTGTTACCATTTGTACCCTTTGTTTTCTCACTGATCTACGGGCAATCACGTCATATAAATTTGGTGGGACGAACGCACAATCTTCTGAGCTAGCCGCACGAATCTCGTAGCGAGCAGACAAACAAAATCAGTTCGTTACATCTGGCGCCCAATGTGATTGTCCCAACAGTGAGAACAGCACAACAAAAATGGGAAAGAAGTGGATTTACCTCCTCAAGAAGGAGGACTTCGCCCATGTCGCACAGAGGCTTGATTTTAGTAAGGCGTTTGATTCTGTAAATCACCCGATTTTAGTCCGGAAATTGGACCTTTTAGGGTTTCCAGGTGATCTTCTCAGGTGGATCTTAAGTTATTTGAATGACAGGACTCAAAGGGTCATTTTTAAGAACTCTTTGTCATCCCTAATCCGAGTTACGACCGGTGTACCACAAGGAAGTCATCTTGGTCCGCTCCTGTTTACATTATCTATAAATGACCTTCTTAACGAAGTCACGGGTTCTTATGTACTCAGATGACGTTAAGTTGTGCCTGCAATATAATGACCCCGCACAAAGTTTAGCTTTACAATCGGATCTAAATGCATTTCAAACATGGTGCATGGATAATTAATTGAATTTAAATGGTTCTAAGTGTAAACTAATGACCTTTTTTCGTGTCACCCCCACTGCTCAACGTATACTTTGAGTGGTTGTGCGTTAGATAGGATAACGCATGCTGACGACCTTGGAGTCTACATGGATCCTAGACTTAAATTTTCCGATCACATTACTACTATGGTAAATAAAGCCAGGGGCGTGCTTGCATTTATCAAAAGGTCGTCGAAGGAATTCGATGATCCCTATGTCACAAAGACCTTGTTTATTTCATTAGTCCGACCAATTCTTGAGTACTGCGCTCCAGTTTGGAGTCCCCACTATGGGGTGCATATAGACCGGATTGAATCTGCGCAAAAAAAATTCTTAATATTTGTCTTACGGAGACTTAACTGGGATACAAGCCTAATACTACCATCCTACTCTAGTAGACTACTTCTAATTAACTTACCATCGTTAGCTAACCGTAGAACTATGCTTGGTATTACGTTTATTAGAAATCTTATTCATGGTGATGTAGAGAGTCCCGAGTTACTGGGTCGCCTGCATTTTAATGTGCCAAATAGATTCACTAGAAACTATATTCCTTTAGTATTAAATCACTGTATTTCTAATTACGCAATGCATGAACCTTTTAGAGTACTTTGCAATGATTATAATAGACTATATCATCTAAAATGTACTACTGAATCACTTCCTATCTTTAAATCAATAATACTATCCTCCCTAGTTACTAATTAGTTTTACTTGATGTATTTTGTCTATTCGTATATTGACCTATATTTTTAATTGTCTTTTGTTACATTGTCTTTTTCTTTGTCCGCGATTATGTTTACTCGCCCAAAACGGTGATG